GCATGATTCAACAGAGCTGAACTCTGTATATATGCTCCACAAGCTAATATCTGTTAACCAGTTCAATAAATAACAGTGATTAAAGCGACTTAATAAGATTATTTTAATTTTAAACTGTTACATTATGTTCTGCTCAGATCACATTGAGCTAAATAAGATCAAATCTGTTTACTTGTGTTGTGAAATGAGATGTTTTCCTGTTTATCTTCTGTTAATAAATCCATAACACAAACAGCTTTACTGGTATTATTTAAAACATTAGATAGATTTTATAAACTGTAAAATATTAATAATAATTGGGGTAATATTATTATTATTAGATTTTATGATTTCTACATGGTCAGTCCTTTTTTTCTGCTCTGTTGTCAACATGTACAGTAATGGGAAATCCAGACTCTTGACTGTTTTGCGTTAGCCGTTAGCTTCTCCAGCCGATCACACGGTCAGGTGGTTTCTGTGCACTCCAGCTGTTCTATAGAACCTCCTTGAGCCACACAAAGCCAAGCGCCCTCTGATGGCTGACTGCGGTACAACATTTAAAGGAATATGCTTAAGTCCTTCCTTTAACATTTAAATCATTCAGCTGGGGTCTATATAAGTTTAGAAAATATAATATGGAATAAAGAAAACTTAATGGATTGAAAAATATAATCCAAACGGAACATAAAGATATCTTTGCAGCAGAGAGATTGAATTAAACCTTTCTGCACTCCTAGAGTCCAAGTGCACAACAAAATGCATTTCACGGCTTATAAAGTGTATTTTACAAGATATGTCCCCTTTAAGTCCTGTCTCCATGTAAAAGATTGGAACATGGCTCTTGGTAAAATAAAAAATAAGACACAAAAGATTTTTTTTCAGGCAACAACTTTTGCTAATTCACATACAGTAGTTCTCTTGCTGCTTTGTGTTCAGTGTGTGCAGTGCCTGATGTCCTGACTTCAATCTGACAAGTGTAATGTGCTTAAGTCAGATAAATTAAAGTTTTAGCACCTTTGCAGAACGCGTGATGGCTCCAATCTCAGAGTAGAGGTCCGTGCTCTCTGGGAAGTTTTCCACCACGGCGGAGCAGGCGTGATGGAGCAGAGACTGCTTGTGAACCGTGTCCTTCACCTCCGGAACCTTCTCCAAATAAGTCAGCTCGAAGCCTTTGGCCTGAGAATTTAAATTAGGTTGACGTGTGTGTTTCTAGTAAACAAATGTTTAAAGAAATCCTCTGCCCGTGACTCACATTGGTGCCATTGAGGAAATTCCCAATGGAGAGCAGCGTGGAGAGGATGTATCGTAGAGTTTTGTTTTTTACCAGCTGCTCCATGCCCTCCTTCAGATCCTGCAGTGGCTCTGCAACTTCCTAAGAGGACACACACACGCAAACACACACAGACATATCATTAGTCCAGCTCGTCAACATGTTTCATTAGCCTGTAGGCGTGCCAGCAGAGAAACAGGTGCATCTTCTCTTCTTGTCATGTGAAATTATTTAAAACTCTGGATTGTTTTTAGCAGCAGCACATTCTCCTTGTGCACTTGAGTTTGTTTTCCTGCACTGTGCACTCATCTTTCCATCAGCAGGCCATCCCACCGGGTCAAGTCAGGAGCAACCAGCTCTGGCGAACACACTATCCCCGCATCGCATCTTTTCATGGAGAGATAAAAGACGACGGCACCCTGCTGAAAGCTGTAAAAATTTATGGGACGGCAACAGTGTTCTTCATTCTGACTTTGTACTTCTCCTCCTGGATGCATTCCTGTCTAAAGAAATCATGGTGCGCCAGTAGATGAAGACAAGGTGAAGTTAATAAGCGTGCATATTTGGTTATGATGTAACTCTGCTGATGTCTTGCGGATGTTGCTGTGTACTTTCTGCCACCAGAGTTGGACTCCCACAAGTTTGTATTTCTGGCATTATTAGGATCATTCATTGACTTCCATTCATTTTTAGTGGTTTCTATAGCCTAATCCTAGGGCCTAACTCAATAATGGAGTTCCACAAGGACCGGCCTTTGGTCCCCATAAGAACTACTAGTCTGTACAAAGTAGGTGTGTATACGAGAAGGTGGTCTCTCCAGTCATTAAGTGGGAGGTCCTTGGTGTGTGGCAGGAGTTTGTCAAAGACATGATTGGTCTGTTTGACTTTTGTGCAGAGGTGTACAGTAACTACATACATTTACTTTTTTTGAGGATTTACAGGTGCTGGTCATAAAATTAGAATATCATGAAAAAGTAGATTTATTTCAGTAATTCCATTTA